AGATAATCAAATCACAAGTACAGGCCGGGTGCCGTGGCTCACCCCTGTAATCTCAGCACTTTGGGAGGCCGAGGCGGGCAGGTCGCGAAGTCAGGAGATCGAGACCATCCTGGCTAACATGGTGAAACCCCATCCCTACTAAAATTACAAAATATTAGCCAGGAGTGGTGGCGGGCGCCTGTAGTCCCAGCGACTTGGGAGGCTGAGGCAGGAGAATGTCGTGAACACGGGAGGCAGAGTTTGCAGTGAGCCGAGATGGCGCCACTGCACTCCAGCATGGGTGACAGAGTGAGACTCTGTCTCAAAAAAAAAAGAAAAAGAATTTGGAGAGAATTTTGGATAAGGTGAAATTGACAGCAGAAATTCTGAGTTCAGCCAGGTGCAGTGGCTCGTACCTGTCATCCCAGCACTTTGGGAAGCCCAAGCGGTCGATCACCTGGGGTCAGGAGTTGGAGACCAGCCTGGCCAACATGGCAAAACCCCGTCTATACTAAAAATAAAATAATAAAAAATAAATTAGCCAACCATGGTGGCACGCACCTGTATTCCCAACACTTTGGGAGGCCGAGGCAGGCAGATCACTTGAGGTCAGGAGTTCGAGACCAGCCTGGCCAACATGGTAAAACCCCGTCTCTACTAAAAATACAAAAGAAATTAGCCGGGCATGGTGGTGGGCACCTGTAATCCCAGCTACTTGGGGGCTGAGGCAGGAGAATCACTTGAACCTGGGAGGCGGAGGTTGCAGTGAGCTGAGATCACACCACTGTACTCCAGCCTGGGCGACAGAGCAAGACTCCATCTCAAAAAATAAATAAAACCATCAGATCTTGTGAGCGTTCACTCACTATCATGACAACAGCATGGGGGGAAAACGCCCCCATGATCCAATCACTTCCCTCCCTCCACACGTGGGGATTACAGTTCAAGATGAGATTTGCGTGGGGACACAGAGCCAAACCATGTCACACGCAAATACACACACACACAGAGTAACACTTTTAGAATTGTGCTCAGGCCAGGCGCAGTGGCTCACGCCTGTAATCCCTGCACTCTGAGAGGCTGAAATGGATGGATCACCTGAGGTCAGAGGTTCAAGACCAGCCTGGACAACATGGTGAAACCCCGTCTCTACTAAAAATACAAAAATTAGCCAGCGTGGTGGTGCACACCTGTAATCCCAGCTACTCAGGAGGCTGAGGCAGGAGAATTGCTTGAACCCGGGAGGCGGAGGTTTCAGTGAGCCGATATCACGCCACTGCACTCCAGCCTGTGCAATGGAATGAGACTCCATCTCCAAAAGAAAAAGTTAAAAATAAAAATCATTTTTTTAATTTAAAGAGTTAGGTGAAGAGAAGAAAAAATGTGTGGTTCTTCAGAGGTCTTATAGACTTTACAGGCGTGAGCCACTGCACCCGGCCATGTTTTCTTTTTTAAAACACAAAATTGGCCAGGCGCGGTGGCTCATGCCTGTAATCCCAGCACTTTGGGAGGCCGAGGCGGGCAGATCATGAAGGTTAAATTTTTATATAATTTCTCATTTTTATTTATTCATCGAAAGGATTCCGATAAAGTTTTTATTGCAATGGACTTTTTAAAATTGCGGTGGACTTATTTTTTTTAAGATGAGTTCTTGTTCTGTCACCAGGCTGGAGTGCAGTGGCACGATCTCGGCTCACTGCAACCTCCAGCTCCTGGTTTAAGTGATTTGCAATGGACTTTTTCTATGGTTGGCAAATGATGGTCTTTTGTTTTGTTTTTTGTTTTGTTTTGAGACAAAACAAAAGGGTCTTACTTTGTTGTCCTCTAGGCTGGAGTGCAGTGGCATGATCATGGCTCACCACAGCTTCAATCTCCCAGGCTCAAGCAATCTTCCCGCCTCAGCCTGCTTAGTAGCTGGGACTACAGATGCATGTCATGCCACCACACCTGGCTATTTGTATTTTTTATAGAGATTGGGTTTCACCATGTTGCTCAGGCTGGTCTTGAACTCCTGAGCTCAAGCGATCCTTCTGCCTCGGCCTCCCAAAGTGTTGGGATTACAGGCATGAGCCACTGCACCCGGCCATATTTTCTTTTTTAAAACATAAAATTGGCCAGGCGCAGTGGCTCACGCCTGTAATCCCAGCACTTTGGGAGGCCGAGGCGGGCGGATCATGAGGTCAGGAGATTGAGACCATCCTGGCTAACATGGTGAAACCCCGACTACTAAAAAAAAAAATACAAAAAATTAGCTGGGCCTGGTGGCTGGTGCCTGTAGTCCCAGCTACTCGGGAGGCTGAGGCAGGAGAATGGTGTGAACCCCAGAGGCAGAGCTTGTAGTGAGCTGAGATCATGCCACTGTACTCCATCTCGGCAACAGAGCGAGACTTTGTCTCAAAACAAAAAAAAAAACTATTTATAAATATCTTATTTACTTCCATTTATTGATTTCTTTCTGTATTATATATAGACTCAAAACATCATCCTGGCCCAGAGCCATAAGCCAGTTATTCACATTTCATTGGTACCTCTTTGAGGTTTTTGGTTTTGTTTTAAAATATCAATCTTTATTTCTAATATAATTCTAAAAACAATAAAATGAAATAAGGCAACCTCCTTTTTGGCAACTTAAATGTCATTAATGTCCCAGTGCCAAGATTTATATTCACTACACATTTAACCTGAAAGGAAAAAAAAAAATTCCAAATCATCCATTTCTGTTCCTGCATCATATTCCAGCTTGGTAGCTAGTTACATCTCTATCCTTAAGTATATCAGTTACATTTTTGGAACATTTTGTCTTATAAAAAATGGAAGAATGAGAGTTTTTTAAAACTGAAAAAGCATTTATAAAATACCATATAGATTTTATGCCATATATACTAGGGATTGGTAACAGTTTAGAAGATACTTATTCAGACTTTTAAGTTATTTGTATCCTGGCTCGATCAGTACAAGTTGACTCAACTATAAACATTAGAGTAGTACATCTACCTCAGAAGGTAGTTGTGAAGATTAAATAATATGGAGTGTATGAATGATGAAAGGAATTTATAAACCAAGGGAATGAACAGGAGATTGCAACTCTTCAAATTGGTTAGATCAAAAGAAAGAAATATTAAGATGTAGAGTTCAAGTGAAACACTGGTACCACAAATCGTATTTGCTACAGTCACACCCACATTTGCTACAATCTATTCCTTGAGGACTTTCGTAGAACTTGAGAATTTCAGAAAGTTAAACCATGAAAGTACCTTTTACTTTCTTCTTCATCCTCATTGTATACATTAATTAGCTTGTGTATGGTATGGGTGTGGGATTCCCAAGTCTCTGACTCTTATATTGCACTTTTCGCAGAAGAATAGAAGCCCAGATTGGTACACCATGACTTGTTGGATAAATTGCTTCTGGGGTATCTAGATCCCATGATAATAATTTTCCTTAAAACTATAAGGCAGCCAGGTGTGGTGACTCATACCTGTAATCCCAGCACTTTGGGAGGCCAAGGCAGGGGGATTGCTTGAGCTCAGGAGTCCAAGACCAGCCTGAGCAACATAGTGGGATCTTGTCTCTACTAAAAATTAAAAAAAAAAAAAAAATTAGCCAGGTATAGTGGTGCATGCCTGCAGTCCCAGCTACAGGAGGCTGAGGCAGGAGGATCACTTGAGCCCAGGAGATAGAGGCTACAGTGAGCAATGATTGCACCACTGCACTCCAGCCTAGACAAGTGGCTGTCTCCAGCCACAGCAAGACCCTGTCTCTAAAAATAAAAATAAAAACCTACAAGGCAGTCAAAGCAAAGCAACACAGAGTTAGAAGAAAAACGACAACCAGGCATCTATGACTGGAATCTTTTTTTTTTTTTTAACCATACTCCCCTTCTCTTCCCTGGGTGTTTATTTTTATTAAATAAAGTGACCCCAGACGTTACCAGCGTGGCATTTTTTACACCTAGGCAGATGCCTTAATTTGACCTAATTTATTCATTTATTTGTTTATTCAACAACTATTTATTGGACATTTAGTCTGTGTCAGGCATAATGCTAAGTGCTAAGGATGTGAAGATAAATCTCTGCTCTACTGAAATTCAGTCTAGTGGGAGAGAGAGAAAGTAAATAGTCTGTTTCTTTACTGTATGTTAAGTTGTCCAATCGAGGTAGATACCAAGTGTTGAGGGAGCACAGACTTCACTGTTGTCAGTGAAGGATTCCTAGAGGAAGTGTATCCTGGGGTGAGTCCTGAGAAATAAGTAGGAGTAGGAAGTTAGGATTGTTCATATAATTTTACTCCATCTTCTGCGAAGATGGAGAATACATACCAAATCATGGAGACAAAAGAAAGCATGGCTAAGGTATGGTCTGGGGAAAGTAGGATAATTAGGGTAAGAAGCAGGAAAATGTTTGTTACAAGAATTGTGTATAAGAATTTATAATAGAGGCCAGGTGCAGTGGGTCACACCTGTGAATCTCACCACTCTGGGAGGCTGAGATGGGTGGATCACTTGAGACCAGGAGTTCAAGACCAGCCTGGCCAACACGGTGAAACCCCATCTCTACTAAAATACAAAAATTAACTGGGCATGGTGGTGCACAACTATAGTTTCAACTACTTGGTAGGCTGAGGCACAAGAATTGCTTGAACCTGGGAGACAGAGGTTGCAGTGAGCCGAGATCACACCACTGAACTCCAGCCTGGGCAACAGAGCAAGACTGTCTCAAAAAAAAAAATGTTAATGATCGAATAGAAGAAGGTAGATTATCATGATATGATATCTCACCAGATTTCTTTAGAATCCTAAAAGCCTCAGAAAGTATGCCATAGGGTTTCTAGGGAAAAGACCTTTTATGTGGTAGAATCAGGGCTGGGGTCCACTGTCCTGGTCTCCCCAGAAAGGGGTGTAGGCAGCATGGCTGTGACCCTCATAAACTTACCAGTGCCTACTACCTAATAATAGAATGGAGACCATGTTACCTGATTGTGAGCCTCTTCTTTCTTCTTCTTCTTCTTATTTTTTTTGGCAGGTACCCTAGAATACGTTTCCACACGGATCTTGTGGATGCCCACCTCTACTGTTTAAAAAAATACGTCGTGGATTTCCTAATGGAAAATGGGTAAGAAAAAGGGTGGTAGAGTCAAACCTACAGTGCTTAACTAGCTACTTCGTGAATTCCTGAAGTTTTAAACCTTCATAATTTAGATAACCAGTTTCTAAAAATAGCACAATAGCACAGTTCTCATTTTTGTTTTAGAAATGAAATTATGTCATCAACATAGTGTTGTTTTATCTGTACCACAGAGTCCCCTGCTTGTATTTTTGCAGCATGTGTTATAATACGTCAACGAAATATTTTGTAACACTTGTAGTAACCCATGGTGCCTCTTTCTGCCCAGTTCCAGGCTCTTCTTCCCTCCTTCAACAGGATCGAGCTCCACAGCCCTTACGCTATTTGTCTCTAATTACATGTTCTTCTCCTAGGCAGTTATCCTATAGATGGGCCCTCTTAGCAAAGAGCTAGAGACTTAACCACAGAAGAGAAGAAGAAGAGCAAGTTTCTCCCCAATTTTAGAAAAGAAGTCCACTTCAATGAGTGCAGAGAAACAAAATGTGGCACACTTCTGATTTTTTTTTTTTTTTTTTTTTTTGGAGAACAGAATTGTAGGACTTAAATAGTTTCCAGAGATTGTGTTTGGCAGATCACTGGACTTGAGTTTTCAAAGAGAAAACCCCTTTTGCAGTTGATCTCAAGGATTTTTTATAAGAAAAGCAGCTACAGTCCTCAAAGGAACAGGTGGGAAAAGATTTAATAACTGCATGGTTAAGAATAGGAGCAGCTAGCTTCCCTTGATGACTGTTGGATAAGTTTGGAAAGTTCACCAGTGCTATTCAAGGCAGAAACTTATCTAGGTGAACAGATACCACAGTAGGAAGAGGTATCTCAGACCATCTGGAGAAAAGAATTTGAGAACCTGAGTTTAAATGCTAGCTCTGCCTTTGGCTGATGGACTTGAATATATATTGGAATATTAAGAGGAAGGAGGATTGTTCCCCTGGCCAGTATGATCTTTCTTGCGGTGTCCTACCCCTCACCCCCCACCCCCCACAACACTTGCTAAGTTCCTATGGGGAGGCCCATGTAGAGCCAATGGTAAAACAAATCATTTGGACTTTTAGAAAGCTTTCCCAAGGATTGTTACATCTCTGTTTCCCCTACCAAGGACACTGTTGCCCTGCTCCCTTCTGACCTCTGAAAAATGTTTTCATTCCATCAACGCATACTTATTAAGCACTCATTATGAGGCAGGCATTGTGCTAAATCAACCATGGGATCAATGATAAATAAACAGATATGGCCCTGCCCTCATAGAAATTACAGCCTGAGCTCCATGGTGGAACGTGGAGACCTTACTTTTTAGATAGCAGGGTAACTTGTTGCCAAGATTTAGAGGGTGATCCAAGACCTATTTCTCAGTGACCAGTCTGGGCTGTTTGTATTCCAGAAATGAAATTAACTCTTGGCCATTGAAGAGTTTATTTTTCACTCTCAAATAAAAATGAAGCCATACGAAATGAGCCTAGGCCTTGATGGGCAGAGGGGACACAACTGTGTTAGAAAGGATGACTTTTTAAAAAATGATTTACTGTGGAAAATTTCACATAAATGCAAAAGTAAAGAAAATAATGAACTCCCATGTATCCATCACACAGTTTCAACAATTATCAACTCATTGTCAATTTTGTTTTATATATGCCACCATTTCTCTCCCCCCATTACCGTAAATTGTTTTAAAGCAAGGCATTTTGATATAATTTCATCTGTAAATATTTTGATATAATTTCATCTGTAAATATATTTCAGCATGAAAGGACCCTTCCAGGATAAAGATGATATTTAAAATAGATATATATTTTACGTATACATATATATATAGAGAGAGAGAAAGAGGCTCTTTTTTTTTTTAATAAATACCTTAATATCATTATCACACCTACAAAAAACTGACAGTATTTTCTTAATACTATCAAAGAGGATTGTGGCTTTCAGTGTCTGTATATGCAGGCAGTTTTACAGCAAACCTAGTCATCTCATCCTGGTTGTTATGGCTTATTTGTAGCTCATTTGGCCAGTACCAGTTAGTTATTCCCACACCTGGCAAGTGTAGTGCAATGGTGTGTGTACCTTGAGGACAAACCTGAAGTTGGTGATACGGCTATAGGTCCTGGCCAGAAGCTCTGCCAAATGGGACTTTCCCAGAACCTGCTGCAGTAGAGAATGATACAGAGCCTCAGCACATACTGTTTCCCCACCTACAGATCTGTTTAGGAGACCCTTATCTCTTTCCTCCCCGCATCTACCTTCACCTCTCAGAATTGCTGCAATCAAAGAGCATATACTGAAAATTGATATATTTCAATATATTGGAAAAAGTAAAAAGGCACAGCAGGGCAAATTGGAATGTTACTTGAGGGAGAGTCTTTGTTCCTGGCTGGAATAGTGAAGGTCTTTGAAAAGTTGTGGGAGATGGGATTGAATTGGTTGGTGGTAGATAGCAGCATGTAGAAGGTCTTGAAAGCTGAGCAGGGAGTTACAAATCTTTAAACAGAATAGTCTTATAGGAAATAAGCAATGATGCAACCTGGCAAGTGAACATGAACCATTCTGCATGGGAAAGAGATTTCTTCAAGATAAGTAGGAGGCATTTATAATCATCTGGTCATCAAATGATGACTCCTTTTAATGGAAAGAGTAAACCTAGGAGACCCAGCTTCAAGAAAGGACTGCTATAGCAATCGTTTGTTATATTTCACCTCTGAGAGTTAACATATTCTACCCTGTGTTCTTTATGTAGGAAAGCTTCATGTTTTCTACAAAGTCACACTTAGGTTTTGTTAGTTGTTTACATGTTAACATTTTCCACTCAAATTCTTTGAGAATGGATAGCTACCTGGATTTGTAAGGCATTCACTATATACTTGGTGAGTGGGGGAAAGGAGATGTAGTGACAGGTAACAGAAGCAATTTAGTATTAATAATAATGAAAGAAGAGAGGTGGGTTTCCACAGTTGACTAAGCAGAAAAGCTATAAGGAGAACTGCAGAGAGAAGAAAATCTGTACTCTCTTTGATGAGAAGTTAGTAACTATACACACTTTACAAGTTTTTTATCCACTTCTGAATGTGGTATGATAGATGAATGTTCCACAGAATCTGTTGAACATTTTAATTCAAAATGTGTTGGATTCTATGTCCAGGGCCAAAGCAGAGCTTAGTCTGAGTATTGTGACTGTGATACCTCTTGATAACTGAGTGTTCCTCCCTCTTTTACAATGTCAGCTGGATTAAGCCTAAAGAAGCTGATCTCTTAGGAGATCTAGAAGCCCAGGTATTGGCCCAGCTCTTTGCTTGCCTTAGTAGGAGTTGCTCCTAGACCTGAGTCAGGGCCCTAGATTGGCACTGACCCTATGAAGGCCTCAAGCAATATGCCAGTATGCCAACTTTGTGAGCTAAAGCCATGGGCAATATATGCCAGGCAATATATACCAGGATTAGTCTTGATTTCCTTTTAGTACAGAACCTCTCCCAACCCCCCCCCCGCCCCCGCAAATTTATCTTTCTCTCTTTAAGAGACTTAAAGATTAGTCTCCTTAACAGGGAGAATTGAGACTGATTACTTCCTTCTTGTCCAGAAGTATCCACGGTTACAGTCACCCTCTTATAGTGTTAGAATCTGATATTGCCGTGCAGTGCTTATAGTCTTGGGGCTGGACCTTCAGAGCAGGAAGAGAGAGGAAAGAAAAAGATTTAACAGCACCTATCGTGTACCAGGCCCTATGCTGGGTGCTTTTCACATATATTCACTTCTTACAATAGTTCTTTCATTAGGTATTATATTATAGAGGAAGAAAATGCTCAAAAGTCATTTGCTCAATGTCATGCAGCCACAGCGTCAACAAAATCCATCACTATTTAATTGATTGCCAGCAACGTCCACCACAGATGTTGGATATCTCCATTGCTAACATGCTTATGCGTACATGCACATGACTCACACTTGGAAGAATAACAGAGCAGTCACAACTTCCTTGCCTCAGCTATGTCGGGATGCAGAGAAGTAAGGATAGGACCCACAAAGTGAAGTCAAGAGTTGGGGATAGGCAGCCATGGTAAGGTCAGAATCATGGTAATAATTAAAGCCACACACAAAATGAAGTTATGTTAGCTGGGCATGATGGCATATACCTCTAGTCTCACCTACTCAGGAGGCTGAGGTAGGAGGAGCACTTGAGCCCATGAGGTTGATGCTACAGTGAGCTATATATGATGGTACACTGCACTCCAGCCTGGTAGACACAAAGAGACCCTGTCTCTAAAAGAAGTTAAAAATTTAAAAAGATAAAAGTGTGGAATAGCTAGAAAGCCACAAGTAAGCACAAGACAGCAGAGTGGAGGTAAGAAGCAGAGCTGAGGGACCAGATAGTGCCATGAGAGGTAGACAGTAGTAGTCTTGGTTTCTTACTGTTCAGTTCGGGCATCCATTAATTTGGCTGTACTTGGTTTCCTTACATGTCCTTAGATGTCCCAGAGGTTTCATGATGTGTCCTTTACTTCAATAACAACAAGATTAAGCTAAGAGTATGTGACTTACACACCTTCTCAACAGGGCTGTTATTGGGTGACTGCATACTGATATCTGAAGATGCAGGTGCTACCAAGAATAAATCAAGGTAGTCTCTTTGAACTTCTTAGTTGCATTCATTTTTATCTCTGGGACTTCTAGAAATCATCAGCTGCTGGGGAAGGGACAAAGTTCTAGCAGCACAGCACATTGTATTGACTTATAAATAAAGAGTCCCCAGTTGAGCTAGCCTGTGCTGTCTGAGGGTATCATGGGTCAGCCTATGGTAGGAAAGATAACCTTTTTAAAGAGGACTTAAAAACTGGAAGAATATATATAATTAAAGCACTCCCACAAAGAAGCATCATCATGGAGCCAGAAAATCTAAAACCAGAGGGAAAGGTATGTTTGGTTTGATGAAGATTTAAGAATAATCTCCCTGTAAGTATAATGGTTAATTGATGTCCTTTCCATCTATCTTTGTTCTCTGGCACATT